GGGTTGATCTCCAAACCGCGCTGGCTCTGAGCCATCTCCTGGTGCGGTGTGGAGATGCCAGGCAAGGACTGTGACCTTTCCCTATGCCTCAGCTTCCTCTTATTTATTTATTTATTTATCTTTTTTTGAGATGGAGTCTTGCTCTGTTGCCCAGGCTGGAGTGCAGTGACGTGATCTCGGCTCACTGCAACCTCTGCCTTTCAGGTTCAAGAAATTCTCCTGCCTCAGTTTCTCGAGTAGCTGGGACTACAAGCGTGTGCAATCATGCCTGGCTAATTTTTTTGTATTTTTAGTAGAGACGGGATTTCACTGTATTAGTCAGGATGGTCTCCTGACCTCGCGATCCACCCACCTTGGCCTCCCGAAGTGCTGCGATTACAGGTGTGAGCCACTATGCCCAGCCGCTTTCTCTCCTTTAAAACGGGGGGATGGCCGTGCCTCCGTCAGAGGACTGTTGTGGGATTATAAGAGCCCATTTGTGAAAGTGCATGGCAGGGGTGGCAGTTATGATCGCCGATGAAAATTCCAGGACGGGAGAAGAATATGCGTGTTATAGTCTCTCTGTTATAGATGCAGACATCTCCTGCAATGCAGATGAACCTGCATGTTGAACCACAGTGAGTTCATGTTTTGGTTTATTCCACACTGGTAGCATATGCAAGAAGGGGCTCAAACCCAAGACTTCCCCAGAACCTCTCTGCCCTTCTGTCCACCTCTCCGCCCTTCTGTCCACCTCTCCCATCCCCCTCTTCTCTGAAGCCCCTGCCATGACCGGATGACTGACAAGGCTGCAACCACATGGCTGGGGACAGGACTCCTGAGGCTCTGCAGCTGCTCACACCCATGTCCTCCTCTTGACTCACACCAACTGGTTCTGTCCTCACACTCCCCCAGCCCCTGGGGCAGCTTTATCCTCTGCACCTGGAACTTCCCACCCAGAATTTTGAGCACCCAGAGTCTGGCAGCAGCTCCCATGGCAGGTCCTGTGGGCCGGCAGGTGCTGGGCCTCTGCTTCTAGTCCACATGCATCAAGGCAGGGCCACCCTGGCCCTGACAGGTATAAGGAAGGGGGACCCAGGTCCACCAGTAATGGGTCAGATGCTACCTCATGCCCGCTAAGATGACCACGATCAAAAACAGAAAATAACAAGTGTGGATGCAGCTGCGGCAACACTGGAGACCTAGAGCATAGCTGTGGGGATAGACAGTGCGGTGGCCACGTCCCTAACCGTGGAAAACAGTTTGGTGGCTCCTCAGTATGTTACATAGAACACGTGACCCAGCAGGCCCACTCCCAGGGATACACCCAGAGAATTGAAGACAAGTGTTCAAACAAAAACTGGCTCACGGATGTTCACAGCAGGACTAGTCACAATAGCCAAAAGGCAGACAACAGCCCCAAAGTCCATCGGCAGATGAGTGGGTAAAGACAGTGGAACACAGCCATACAACGGAATGTATTCTAGCCGTGAAACCAACGAAGTTCTGACATACGCTGCACTGTGGACGAATCTTGAGGATATCAACCAAGTGACATGAGCCAGACACTGAAGGGCACATGCAGTGTGATTCAGTTCGAGTGTCCAGAAGAGGTAACTTCATAGAGACAGAAAGTCCGCTGGTGGTTTCCAGGAGGTGGGGAGAAACAGAAACAGGGAGTGATTACTATTGGGTACAGAGTTTCTCTCTCTCTCTCTTTTTTTTTTTTTTGGTTGAGACAGAGTTTTGCTCTGTTACCCAGGCTGGAGTGCAGTGATGCGATCTCGGCTCACTGCAACTTCCGACTCTGAGGTTCCAACAATTCTCCTGCATAGCTGGGATTACAGGCGTGCACCACCACGCCCAGCTAATTGTTTGTATTTTTAGTAGAGATGGGGTTTCACCATGTTGGTCAGCTGGTGTTGAACTCCTGATCTCAGGTGATCCACCCACCTTGGCCTTCCAAAGTGCTGGGATTACAGGCATGAGCCACTATGCCCAGCCAGTACAGGGTTTCTTTTTGGGGTGATTAAAATGTTCTAAAATGGATTGTGGTGGTTGCACAATTTTCTGAATGTACTCTGTCATGTGATTAGATTTTCTTTTTTTTTTTTTTTTGAGATGGAGTTTTACTCTTGTTGCCCAGGCTGGAATGCAATGGCTCGATCTTGGCTCACTGCAACCTCCCCCTCCCAGGTTGAAGCGATTCTCCTGCCTCAGACTCCTGAGTAACTGGGATTACAGACATGCGCCACCACGCTCAGCTAATTTTTGTATTATTAGTAGAGATGGGGTTTCACCATGTTGGCCAGGCTGGTCTTAAACTCCTGACTTCAGG